TTTGACCAATATTTCCCCATTTCCCCACCCCTCAGCCCCTGGTGACCACCACTCTGCTCTCCCTGTCTCAGTGATTGGCTTTTTTAGATTCCACATATAAGTGATATAATACAGTATTTGCCTTTCTTGGTCTGATTTATTATCAGGGAAGTATTACTTTATACAACCTTGGTATCTACCAGAAAATAGAATATTTGAATGCTTGTTTGATAAACAAATCTATAATTATAATTAGCATATATTTACTGATTTCTTTTATACTACAGCATTAAACATATTAAAAAATTTGTTTAATGTTTATTTGTTTTTGAGAGACAGAGAGAGACAGAGCATGGGTTGGGGAGGGGCGAGAGAGGGAGACACAGAATCTGAAGCAGGCTCCAGGCTCTGAGCTGTCAGCACAGAGCCAGATGCGGGGCTCAAACCCACGAACTGCAAGATCATGATCTGAGCTGAATCCGGATGCTTAGCTGACTGAGCCACCCAGTCGCCCCTACAGCATTAAAAATTTTTAACTGATAACTTACATATAGTAAGATACGTAAATCTTAAGTGTACAGTTTGATGAATTTTTATAAATGCACACACCTGTGTGACTACCATCCAGATCCAGTTATGGAATAATTCTTTCTTTTTGTTTTTTAAAAATGTTCGTCTATTTTTGAGGGGGGGGGGCAGAGAGAGATGGGGAGAGAGGATCTGAAGCAGGCTCTACGTTGACAGCAGACAACCCAATGCGGAGCTCACGAACTGTGAGATCATGACCTGAGCCGAAGTCGGATACTTAACCAACTGAGCCACCCAGGTGCCCCCAGTTATGGAATATTTCTAGCTCCTAGCAGTCTCCCTCTTGCCCTTACTCAGCCAACCACCCCTTAAATGTCATCACTATTCTGACCTCTGTCACCATGGATTAGTTTTGTCTGCCCCTGAATTTAATATACATGAAATCTTATTGTATGTATTCTTTTGTATTTGACATCTTTCACTCAACATGAAGTGAGGTTCTTTTATGCTGTGATGTGAAGCCGTCATCCACGGTTTTGCCTTACTGTGTGGTATTCCACTGTATGACACAATAACAATTTAGTCATCCTTTCTACTGTTGATGGACTCTATGTTTCCAGATAAGAGCTATTTCATGATGACTCAGTGGTTCTACGTGGTGCTGACCCTAGGAGGTGCTGAGGTATATAGAACTGACCGCCCCAGTGCATGATTTCAGCTGCGCCTACTCGTTTGCACCTCCCATCCTTGATGCTTTTGTTTCTCTGCTGTTCAGAACAAGCCTGGAGGTTCCAGTAGGAACTTGAAAGTTACTTACATTTTATTATACAAATAAGTCAGATATGCTCTGTGCTTAAAAAAGGAAAATGCTGAACCTCTTCCTCCCTCCCTCCCTCCCTCCCTTCCTTCCTTCCTTCCTTCCTTCCTTCCTTCCTTCCTTCCTTCCTTCCTTCCTTCCTTCATGGAAGCACCTGAGCATTGTCCCACTGTGTTCTGTAGAATCAAAGCCAGCTTTCTCTAGATTATGCAGCTGTTCTAGGAGTTTGTAGTTCATTGCTTTCAAAATTGGATACCTCGTGTTATGGGCTGAATTTATCCTGACATTTGTATGTTGGAGTGTTAATCCCCAATACGTCAGAGGGTGACTATATTTGGAGATATCCAATCTGACAGATATCCTTATTAAGAAGAGAAAAATTGCACGCACAGGAAAGACACCGGCACACACGTGCACAGAAGAAAGACCCCGTGAAGAGGCAGCAAGAGGGGAGCCATCTGCAAGCCAAGAGGAGAGGCCTCAGAGGAAGGCCACCCTCTTGACACCTTGACTTTGCACTTCCAGCTTCCAGAACTGTGAGAAAGTGAATTTGCACTGTTTAAGCGTCCCAGGCTGTGGCATTTTCATTATAGCAGTCCCAGCAAACTAACATTTGATTGGTTTCAAATGATTTTCCAAATGCCATACGGTAACATCTATAAAATAAGTCAGCTCTTTCTTAATTTTTCATGTCTAATCAGGGGCGTAGCAAACCCCAGGGTTTAAATGGGCCACAAACCAATCATTTAGTAGCCAACCCCATGCAGCCTGCATGTCCCTCCTCTCCTGGTTTGGCTGCCCCCTGAATGATTTGAGATGAAATGGTTTTGAGAAGAAATCATACTCCTTTACCTTCAAATACTTCATCTTATTATGTAAGGATGTTCTCTTACATAATCATAAAATTCAAAAAAATTAACACTGACATAAGGCTATTATGTAACACATGGCCACATTAAAATTTTGCCAGTCATCCCAATACTATTCTTTCTGGTAATCTCTCCCTCTCCTTCCCACCTCCAGGACCACATGTTACATTTGATTATCATGTCTCTTTGATCTCCTTTAACCTTTGCCTACCACGACATCTACATTTTTGAAGATTACACAGCAGGTGTTTTATAAATGTCCCTCAGTCTGGGTTTGTCTGATGATTAGATTCAGGTTATGCCTTTCTAGCATAATCGGAACTTTAGACATGCATAGTCTGTTCATGCCACAAAGCACAAGAGTTATCACACCCTTCCATTGCTTTAAAAGCAACAAAGCCCACTTACATGCTAAGAGGAACACATTTGATACATAAATTCACTTTGAGGTGTTAGTGATGAAAATGATCTCCCTGAGGCAATAAACCTGCTAGGCATCACTGTATTTTTAAAGAAAAATTTATTAGACAAAAGGATACAAATTTTTTTTATCATGATTTTTTAAAAATCATTTAAATCATACGTTTTAAATTACAGGTGTAGGCAACTACATGCAACTCTATGCATGTTCAAGGGGGAGGAATGTTGCAATTATACCCAGAGTTATTCTGGAAAAGGTCCCCACTATGAAACACTGCAGAAACAGCCTGCTTTCTATAACAGATGCAGTGACTGAGGCATTGAAGCGGTGATGCTTTAGTTTGTCTTAATTTTTCTGAGGTTTGTATGTCACCCAGCAGGGTCTCCATGGACTAGATTTCAGAGCAATTGAGTTTGGGATTCCTGTGAGCCATGGAAGACTCTGGAGTGGGAGTGGGGAGCAGGAAGAGTGCTGTAATAGAGGAGGGGGTCCAGAAAGGGAGGTGAGATTCAAACACAAACATTTACCTGTCTTCAGGTTTGCCCAACTTTGGCCCTTTTCTGATTATGCCCCACGAATCAAAAAGAAAGCAAACGAGACAGCCAGTTTATTACAAAATACAGAGTTTCTTAGGATTTCAAATACAGTTTTTATTTAAGCTCATACTTTTGAAGCAAATATCTGTTCCTGTAAGAAAATTTGCTAGGAAGTGAGTGAAGGAATTTTTTTTTTCCTTTTTATCTTTTCACATAGCAAAGAAGAACAGTACGATGAATTTCTCTGTCTCTTCCTTTCCCAGGCAACACTCCCAGTGACCTCATGTCTTTATGTTCTTTTTTTTTTTCTTTGTAAAAGCAGTGGCAGCAGCAGCAACTTTTGCACGCACTTCTTGGGAGGAACAGGTGTAAGCCCTTGACCACATTTGCAAAAGTCAAGTTCCTATGTTACAGGTAAGGTGAGTGGCACAGACAGGAGGCAGTATTTACAGAATGGCTACAGTAATGCCCAATGAATGCAAGCGGTGGGATTTGTTAACTCCTGTTGCACGCTCAGCTTCCTATAGTTGACTCAACTTATGTCTTTGGAGCTCTAGAGTTACAAGAACATCCATGTAAACTTAAAAAAAATTTTTTTTTAATTTTATTTAAATCCAAGTTAACATATAGTGTAATAACGGTTTCAGGAGTAGAATTTAGTGATTCATTTCTTGGATGTAACACCCAGTGTTCATCCCAATAAGTGCCCTCCTTAATGTCCATCACTCATGTAGCCCATCCCCCCACCCAATGCCCCTCCAACAACCCTCAGTTTGTTCTCTGTATTTAGGAGTCTCTTATGGTTTGCCTCCCTCTCTGTTTTTATCATATTTTTCCTTCCCTTCCCCTATGTTCATCTGCTGTGTTTCTTAAATTCCACATATGAGTGAAATCATCCATGTAAACTTTTAATCAGACTTTGAGTCTGGAACCTTACTGAAAGTTCTAGGGGAAATAAATAATAAGCAATCTAAGCTAGTATCCATATGATGATAAGGTGAGAAACAGTGAGATACTTATCAAACTAATTTGCACTGGTTGCTTAAAAAGTCAACATAAAAGTAACTTTAGATATTACGGTTAAAAAATAGTTTTTTAAGTTAGGTAATTTAGTTTTTGATATCTTCAAGGTATTATCTTAGATGCCCCATAACTTTGTTTTGCTTAAATGATTATAATTCTTTTGTCGTTGTCATTAGAAAACTGAGTGGATCCTGAAAGTTCTCATTGTAAGAAAAAAAAATCGTAACTTGAATGGTAATGGTTGTTAACTGGACTTATTGTGATTTTTTGCAATATATACAAATGTGGAATCATTACATTGTACATCTGAAACTAATATAATGTATGTCAATTACACCTCGGTAAAAGATAAATGAATAAGTAGCCACTATCTACACCATGGCCAAACAGAGAATAGAATAAGAATAACATTAAACTTTCAGTTTTTCTATAATTTCCTTTACAGTTCACTTTGTAAATGTGCTTCGCTCTGTAAGTTTTCCAGTGAGTAAAAAGGGTGTCATTAATGTCTTCATTTGGTTTATATCGATTTGTTTAAACGCTTTCACTTTAATTTAGAAGAGAGAGCTGATTCTCCTGGCATTGCAGTCTGTACAGGAATTCTTGGAACCACCCACTTTAGGATTTTATTTGCATGAATATCCCGAGATCTTAAAAAGTTGGGGATAAGAGTAATGTAGTTATCGCTCCTATCTGGCAAACATGAATATCCTGTAAGCCGATATCTTCCCTGCAGACATTAAGAACGATTTCTAGTCTGTGGTGTTTAAGATACTTCATGTTCAACTCCAATCACTTTAGTTTGGAAAAAGAAAGCAGGAATGTTTTTAATCTCTTTTCGGAGGTATTGGCCTCTTTTGCATCAGCATGTTTGGGGCTTCTCTTTTCTCTCTGCTTTCTTCAGAGGAGCTTCCTCTCCACAGTTTTCTTCTGGGGAAGTATCTGTAATGAGGAGTGAGGCAACTGTGTGGCCAAAAGAACGGACGAAACTGAAAACGACGATTGCACTTCCGAGGAAGGAAAGGTCTGTTTGGAAACCTAATGTGGACTCTAGGCCCTTGTGGAAAAAAGTGAAAGGGACACTTGGGTGTCCTTGGGATGAGCTGAATCCTCGTCACCGGGTTCCTTATGGTGGGTGGAGGGGTGAGTGTAAAGATCTCGCAGTCTGTAGGGCCTCCATCATCTTGTGAACCTCTAAGAGGGGTGGCTACTGCTTTTTGTCCTGCAGGGAGAAAGGTGCAAGTCAGCAAAAAGGCCTGATAACAGAAGCAGAAGGGAGATACTTTAGATGGCAGCAGGGCAGAAAGATTGGGAGAGAGAAATAGAGAAGTCTCAAAACAAGTTTGAAAAAACTGCCAAGGTCCAACAGAATGAAACATGAACACACCTCATGACCCAGCAGTCCTACTCTGAGGAATTTATCCAAGAGAAATGAATGCATATGTCTTCAAAAGACTACTTCACGAATGTTCATAGCAGCCTTGTTCATATTCATATTATTATTTTTTAAGTAGGCTCCATGCCCGACACGGGGCTTGAAGTCAGGACTTTGGGATCGAGAGTCAGATGCTCTTCCCATTGAGGCATTCGGCTGCCCACCCCCACCCTTCTTAAGCCTTATTCATAATAGCTCTTAAGCTTGGAAACAGTACAAGTGTCCATCAATAGGAGAAAGGTTAAACAAACTGTGTATATACAATGAAAAGGGGGCAACAAATAAAGGAAGACTTACTAATATGACAACATAGAGGCATCCCACAGATATATTGAGCAAAAGGAGTTAGACACAAAAGAGTCCGTACTGTAAGATTCCACTTATATAAAGTTCAAGAACAAGGAAAACCCATCTATGGTCACAAAAAATTCTTAAGTAATTAATTTAGGGTTAGGGTAGGTGTTATTTTGTGGAAAAAGAATTCTTTATTTTTATTTATTTTTATTATTTTTTAAGGTAGGATTCTTTAGATCTTGTTTCAGGTGGTTGTTATGTGGTTATGGAGACACACACACACATTTATGTTTACACATACATATACGTACACACATGTTTATATACATACAGACATACATATATGTGTATATGTAAAATGTGATTAGTCTGTACCTCTAAGATTTGTATATTTTATTGTTCATAAGCTATAACCAAATAATGAAAATTCAGGGGCGCCTGGGTGGCTCAGTTGGTTAAGCAGCCAACTTCGGCTCAGGTCATGATCTCACAGTCTGTGAGTTCGAGCCCCACATCAGGCTCTGTGCTGACGGCTCAGAGCCTGGAGCCTGCTTCAGATTCTGTGTCTCCCTCTCTCTGATCCTCCCCCATTCATGCTCTGTCTCTCTCTGTCTCAAAAATAAATAAACACTAAAAAAAATTAAAAAATAAAAGAGAATTCAGCGGAGGAAAAGAATTAATGTTAATAAAATAAGAATAACTGCCCCTCCCTGTGAAGGCTATTCATCCAAGGGGTCTGCTTCACTTCCCCTAGCACTGAAATCATTCTCTAAAGAGGGAAGTGGGGGGGTGGGGGTGGGCATCTACACACAGGAGGGGAGCAAGTACTAAAAACCAGGATGAAATTAGTTTCTGAGAAGAAATTTGGGTCAAGCTCAAGTGTCAAGGTCTTCTCTATAGAGAACACTCTTCTCTGTATCATCCAATGGAATTGGCTATGAAAAAGTAAGCCCTTCAGAAAATTATTCTTTCATGTTCTTACAAACTTACCTACAAAGGCCTGGAAGGGGATGCTATATGTAAATGATGGAAAAACAAATTCCCCACAGAAAGTTGAAAGTACTGAGGCACTTGAAAGAACTGGATTCCCCTCACCTTTAGAACAACTGAATTCAGATTTCTTGGTTGTGTAGGACATACCTATTTCCTGCTTGTGTTTATAGCCCCTTCTGGAGATTCTGCTTTACCCACAACCCCTGGAAAGGTCAGTCCTACGTATCTTTGACTATGGCTGATTGGCCTGCTGATAGACACTCACCTCATTCATTGGTTGGTCAGTGACCAATCAGATTCTCATTTAAGGATTTCAACAAAGAGACACAGTGGAAGATGTTAGTGGAAGGTGTAGGGCAGGGACTGGAGTGTTAGGTTTTGTTTGGCCAGTTGAATGATGAGTAAGCAGAGAAGCCAGTCTTTCCATAGATGCCATAAAATGGTAAGGCCTTTCAGAGAAAGAGAGACAAGCGACCATGTGGTAACAGAGTGATGGTAAGAGGAGCCTTGGTTCTTGACTCTTTAGGGCTGATCCCTCTGAAGCCTGGCTGTGCACAAGGGTCTTAGAAATATCCTTATAATAATCACTCCACCTACTCTTTAAAAAATTTTTTTTAATGTTTATTTTTGAGAGAGAGAGGCAAAGCATGAGCAGGGGAGGGGCAGAGAGAGAGAGAGAGACACAGAACCTGAAGCAGGCTCCAGGCTCTGAGCTGTCAGCACAGAGCCCGACCTGGGACTCAAACTCACCAGGTGTGAGATCATAACCTGAGCTGAAGTCAACCGACTGAGCCACCCAGGTGCCTCCTTTTTAAAATTTATTTATTTTGAGAGAGAGGGAGGCAGAGCGTGTGTGTGTGTGTGCGCGCGCTTGTGGGAGGGGCAGAGAGGGAAAGAGAGAGAGAGAGAGAGAGAGAGTCCTAAGCAGAGCTTGATCTCATGATGGTTAGCTCATGACCTGAGCCAAAAATCAAGAGGCAGATGTTCAACCAACTGAGCCACTGAGGTGCCCCTACTTTATTCTCTTCTTAAGCTGGCTTGAGTGGGTGTCTGTTCCTGAACTGTTGTAACATGAAAGCTTTCTGCAGAGAATCCAGTCAGTGTGGAGAAGCTAGCTTTCTTCTTTCTTCTCCTTCTCCATCTCTTTTTCCTCCTTGTTCTTCTCCTTCTCCTTCTTCTCCTCCCCCTCCTCTTCTTCCCCTCCTCCTCTTCTCCCTCCTCCTCCTCCTCCTCCTTCTTCCTTCTTCCTTCTTCCTTCTTTCTTCTTTAAAGATTTATTTTAGGGGCACCTGGGTGGCTCAGTTGGTTAAGCCCCTGACTTCAGCTCAGCTCATGATCTCACAGTTCATGGGCTTGAGCCCTGCATCAGGCTCTGTGCTGACAGCTCAGAGCCTGGAGCCTGCTTCAGATTCTGTGTCTCCCTCTCACTCTCCCCTTGCTCTGCTTGAGCTCTGTCTCTATCTCAAAAATAAAGATAAAAAAATTTTTTAAATAATATTTATTTTATTTTTGAGAGAGAGAGAGAATGCATGCATGTGAGCCAGGGAGAAGGGCAGAGGGAGAGAGAGACAGAATCTTAAGCATGACCCTGGGATCATGACCTGAGCTGAAATCAAGAGTCAGACACTCAACCAACTGAGCCACCCAGGCACCAGAAACTAACTTTCTTCTTAAACTCCATCTTGACATTTTGTTATTAGATCAGACTTAGCTAGGCCTGAGCTCTGCCTCTCAGTACACTGTATTCCAGCCATTAACAACAAATCAACCACCTACCCCTGTGCTCATCTGATTTCTCAAACCTGAGGCTATTCAACCAAATCTTCCTGCTGACTCTGGGGTGTTAGAGCCTGCTAGGTAGCTTTTCTCTGATTCTGGGATGTCCAGCAGTGTTCACTGCTCTCTCCCGGGGATTTCCAAGAGCTCTATATCAAGATACAAGCTTGTCCTAGTAACCAGCCCAAGAATGTGGGCAGGACCACGTAAAACCATATTCTTCCAGCAAACTAGACACATGATGACTATTGCAGGGCACTGGTTGACTAGCACAAGGGCTCTAAAATGTGGGAACCATAGGGATTGATTTCGGAAACTATACAGGTTAAGGCCACACATTTGGGTGAGGACATTGATGCCATTCATGGTCTCCAACTTTGGCTGAGTTAACACTGCTCACCAATTCTTTTGTTTCTCCTCGTTCTGCTCCATTCCCACTAGCTTCTGAATCTTTGACACTCCTCTCAAAGCCCCTTCAAAATTCTCATTCTTTGTCATTCATTTGAAGAATTTTCTTCAAAAGTCTCTCTACCTTTGTAAGTAGACTACTTAGCTGCATATTTCAGAAAGAAAACTTCAGTGATCTGCCATGAACTTCTTTGGTTCTTATCTCTCTCACTTCAGAGAGATATCTACACAGTCATCTACATGTGCCCCCTATGGCCCCCCATATTTAATCTACTGGAACCTGACTGTGCTTTCTCTACTCAAGAAAACCTACTGGGGCGCCTGGGTGGCTCAGTCGGTTGGGCTTCCGACTTCAGCTCAGGTCGCGATCTCACGGTCCGTGAGTTCGAGCCCCGCGTCAGGCTCTGGGCTGACAGCTCAGAGCCTGGAGCCTGTTTCCGATTCTGTGTCTCCCTCTCTCTCTGCCCCTCCCCCGTTCATGCTCTGTCTCTCTCTGTCCCAAAAATAAATAAACATTAAAAAAAAAAAAAAAAAAAAGAAAACCTACTTTGGCAAAAGTCATTACCAGTCCTGGGCTTTTAACAAACTGGTTCCAGATACCCAAGCACCATTTCCTGTCCTCTTTGCCTGGCTTACTCCTACGCATATTTCATGCCTCATTTCCTCAGTGAGGTCTTTCCTACCCTGAGGCTGGCTTAAAGCCCTTGGCACTATGCTTCCATACCACTCTGGGAGTCCACTTTCAGAATACTCATCAGTCATGTGATTACTATTCAGTGGTTGCATTTCTCCACCGGAACATCCACATGACCACCCTGTAGACCACATCTCCTTAGCCCTGCCACAGTGCCTGCAGTGGAATTGAATTGATTGAGAGAAATCTCTGTTTCCATAATTGCCAAAGTTACCATCTCCCCACCTCTCAGAGATGATGCGATCATTATAAATAGATGGTTTTCAATATTTAACACACAGACATGCCCCCAAAGGCACTGAATGTCAAAGATGAGAGCCCTTCTGTGACATTAATCAGACCAAAGTAGGTGAAATATTTGAATACAGATTGAGAGGTGCCTGGGTGGCTCAGTCAGTTAAGCGTCTGAGGTTTAGACTCAGGTCATGATCTCACAGTTCTTGGGTTCGAGTCCCGCATGGGGCTCTGTGCTGATAGCACGGAGCCTGCTTGGGATACTCTGTCTCCCTCTCTCTTTGTCCCTCCCCCACTCTCTCTCTCTCTAAAAAATAAGTTAATAAACATTATAAAAATAAATATAGATTAAAAAACATTTATAAGACAGAACATGATAGTGTTTAAAGCATAGACTCTAGAACCAGGATCCCTGAGCTCTGCCACTTAATAACTGTATGACCATTGACAGGTTCCTTAACTTTTCTGAGTCTCCTTTTCCTTATTTGTAAAATGGAAAAAAAAATACTACCTACCTCATTGGCTTGTTGCATTATCTGAATTAAGACACGTAAAGTGTCCAGAACATGTCTGATACACAGTATGCACTTAGTAGGCATTAGCTACTGTTATTATTAATCTTGAATGTCATGGAAGAAAGATTCTATCAGCACAAAGGCCCATTTTCTTGGGCCCATCGGGTTCCACTTTAGGTATAAAATATGTGGCTACTGATAGGACTAAAGGGTACAGATGCTATTAGAACGGGACCTTGATGAAAACAGAGATTCTATTGGTCATGGCTCTGTCCTTAGCACCTACAATATACCTGGCTTAGAGGGGGGTCCAGTACATAGTCAATAAATTGAATGAATGGTCAGGCAGATGTTGAGGGTTTTTCTCTGTAGATTTTGTGAAGCTCATGAGTATTTAATTTCAGTCCCAGAAAATTTGCAATAACTTACATTTAAAATTAGACTATAATAAAAAATCAAGCCAAAGTATCACTTGAAGTTTGGATATCAATTTTGAGCGGGTTTATTATAGTCTAGACATGAAATTCATAGCATATCAACAACTAGTACTTTTTTTTTTTTTTAAGTAAGGATGAGAAGTCCCTTTTCTTTAAAAAAAAGAAAAAAAACCCCAACAGAACAATTACCTGTAGTCTGTGGTTATTTGGGCAGACGATAGCTGGTTTGTAATGAACTGTACTGATTTTTAAGAGAAGTAAACTCATACATAATGTTTAAGTACGCAGTTCTCCCCTTATAAGGCCCATGGAGTCATAGAAAATTCTCATGTGCTTTCAGAGTTGAACCAGAAAGGAATATAAGTTCTGTGATGAATTTACTCACAATAACTGCAACTCAGCTCATTTTGTAGACTCACAGAATGACTGGCTCTTTTGGTCAAATCTCTAAGCCTACAGGGAAAGAATTTGGAGCCCAGAAAGTGTCACAAAGGCCTCTTTCAATTCTGTGCTATAAAGCCAGTCATTTCCACTGTGTGCAGTTACTGTGTTAGGTGTTATGGCAAACTCAGAGATAATAAAGACACGGACCTGCACTTGGGAAGTGCTACAAATACATGGATCTGTACTACAGAGCAGAAAGAGGCACGTGTCACGGATGATGTACAAATTGCTATAATTCCGAGATGTCAGAGAGAGAGATAGCAATTTTTAAATTATGTGTTTCTTTTGTTTTAAGTTTATTTTTGAGAGAGAGAGAGAGAGCGCGCGCACGCACATGCATGCCAGCAGGGGAGGGGGAAAGAGAGAAAGACAGAGAGACAGAATCCCAAGCAGGTTCTGCGCTGTCCGCACAGAACCCGACATGGGGCTCGACCTCATGAACCATGAGATCATGACCTGAGCTGAACCCAAGAGTAGGACACTTAACCTATTGAGCCACCCCGGCGCCCCTTTCAATTATGTACCTTAAAAAAAATCTTGGGGCGCCTGGGTGGCGCAGTCGGTTAAGCGTCCGACTTCAGCCAGGTCACGATCTCGCGGTCCGGGAGTTCGAGCCCCGCGTCGGGCTCTGGGCTGATGGCTCAGAGCCTGGAGCCTGTTTCCGATTCTGTGTCTCCCTCTCTCTCTGCCCCTCCCCCGTTCATGCTCTGTCTCTCTCTGTCCTAAAAATAAATAAAAAACGTTGAAAGAAAATTAAAAAAAAAAAAGTTAAAAAAAAAAATCTTTGCGGAGCAATCCTATAGCTACATTTAAATGTCATCAGGTGAAGCAGAATTGCAATAAACAGGTGAGGGCAGGGTGAGTTTGGACACCCACACACGACCAGACACGGCACAGATAGGCGAGTGACGAGCTGGAACCAGGGCTGCATGGATAGAGCGAAGCTACATTTGAAGGAGTTTCCATGCCAGCCTGAGGGACAGTGGGAAGCATGAGCCAAATTCAGAAGTCATATCTCACATTTTAATTGGTGTTTTTTCAGATGTGGATACACCTATGACCTCATTATAGCTTGTTCAGCTATGTATTTACAAAGTTTCCAGAAGAGTGGTTCACTTTCTGGAAAGAAGATGTCAGGTAGGTGGCTGGTTGTGTTTTACGATGCCTCTTTTAGATGTCACGTTCAGCAGGTGGTGCTTGGGGGTCTGGTTTTGGGAACGGGGCAGGTGTCATTTGTAATATCTCCTCCCCTTCTGATTGCCAGAGTTCATGCAGAGGTTGGGCAAAGTGACCTCTGGTGGTCTCACTCCCAGCCTCCAGGTCTCTGCCCCTCTCCTCTGTATGTGAGCTTTGGGGGAGGGGAGATGACTAGGGTCTGGCTGAGCCCCTGCAGAGACCCCAGGGTAGTTGGTTTGATCCTGGGTCTCACCTCCCTGAACAGTATCTAGTGCTGGAACGAAGGTGACTTGTGAAAGAAACAACATTAGACCCAGATCCCCCAGCATCTCTTTCTCTCCTTTCCCTTTCTCCCCTCTTCCCTAGCCTTTTCTCTCTTTCCTCCAGGGGTGTGCAAACCAATTTTAAAGCTCAGGCCGCCTGGGAAACCTTGTGATGGGGGAAAGGAAAGAGGATAGGAGCACTGGAGAAGCAGAATGTAATATAATCCTAGAGAAAGCTATGTCCACTTCGGTAGCCCCAAGACGCAGCTGCCTAGATGTGATTAATTAAAGCAATTAACAAACAGAGATTAAACAGCCACCATGTGCAAATTACTGTGCTGCTGGGGATAGCAAGAGGTGGACCCTGCCGTAATTCAGGGTGGAAATTGTTAGCTTTACAATAATAACAACTGGTATTGAATAGTGTTTTGAGCTGGAAGAGCTTTTCTTGCAAGATAGCTCATTTTGTCCTTATAACCCCCATAATAATTATTAATACTGTCACCTCACATAGGAGGAGACTGATGTGAGAAAGTTTAAGCATGTCTGAAGTCACATAGTTAGGGCTGAGACGAGGACTAAGGTCTTCAGATGACAAAATTTAGCTTCTTTCTCCTCAACCACACAGGCTGATGGAAGCTGACAAAATTATGTCCGGTTCATGGATACATATAGTTGTCTTTTCACACAACTTATTAATTAGGGACCCACAGTAGAATAAGAGCCAAAGCCTTACCTTCTGCCACGGTTACCACCACCCAGCAGACCAATAGCCGGCAGGCGAAGCGGAGTTGGTGAGCCATGGCTTTCCACCCTGAGCAGTCACTGCCCTGAGCCCAAGTTGCTTTAAAGGGGAGCCGGTGAGTCACCGGCAGCCTGATTCGGGTAATTTGCATTTGCTCAGTGGACCACAGGAATCAGGGCCTGCGGTATGAGGGTGAGAAATCAGCAAGGAAATACCAGACAGTGTTTATCAACCAGAAGTTTCTTGGAATGACAGCCAAACGGCATTCATCTATCCTTTGGAGTCAGATTGTGGGCAACCACGCCCTCACTACCCTTTTAATTCCCTCCAATCTTCTCTGCCCGTAGTGCCCTCTCTTTACTTGTTCTACGGGTCTCCCTGGGCAAGAGAAAGAATCTGTTTAGGGAATACTCAACAGTGCTTCCCTCTGTGTGGTTGACTTACTTTAAAAAGCCAAGCAGGATGGGGAGGGTGTTGTCCAAAGTCTTCCTGACCCAGGTGGTTTGAAGAGGCTGTTCACAGGCCTTGGGTCAGAGATTACGGCTTTTTCTTTTCTCTGCTTTTGTCCAGGAGCCAAAGGCAGCAGCGTCACAAAACTATCTTCTCTAGTAGCCATCACGGTCGCTGTCCACACAAACATGGCTATTTTTTTTTTAATTTAATGTTTATTTGTTTTGTGTGAGAGAGAGAAACAGCATGAGCAGGGGAGGGGCAGAGAGAGAGGGAGACACAGAATGTGAAGCAGGCTCCAGGCTCTGAGCTGTCAGCACAGAGCCTGACGCCGGGCTCAAACTCACAAACCGTGAGATCATGACCTGAGCCAAAGTCGGACGCTTAACTGACCGAGCCACCCAGGTGCCCTCAAACGTGGCCATTTGGTAGATGAACTCAGTGAGTTGTGTTTCCAGGGCTCCTTCTGATTCATCATATTGTCCCTATGATGGACATGGTGTGCCTGGTTTGTTTCCTGAGAGAATTCGGTTTGTCTAGGAGAGATGGGAGGGGATGGCCACCATGAGAAAGAGCATGGATCTTGAATTGGGAAAACTGGCTTCAATCTTGATACCTTCTCTTCCTGTCTAGGTGAATCCCTGAGACTCGGAGGCGTCTCTTGTGTAAAATGGGCCTTGTCGTATTTCCCTCAGAGTGGTGATGGATATAGAAGAGGTAACTGACCTGAAGCCCCAACCACAGGGCCTGGCCCATGAAAGGGACTGGTTAGGGTTGTCAGTGAATTATAATGACTCCAGTTCTTAACTTGTTCTCTTAGGAGCTAATAGTTGTCTGCTCATTCAGTCACTCCACAGGCCTCCACTTTGAGAATATTTTCCTGGGCATTGCAGAAAGAACAAAACAGAACACAGTCCCTGGCTTCCAAGGGCTAACAATCTATCGGGGGAGACCATGCAAGCTGAGGACCAAACTGAGGAAGAATGCAAATACTCACAAACTAGAAAATGGCAGATTCCACAGGCCTGATGAGGATCCTAGGCAAAATTCTAGGACAGATGATTAAACGGACAATTTGTCAGCAGTTTGGAAAGGAAGCAGGGATCATGGAGAACAAGGCATTACCCACTGATTGGGCAGCTCTCTGTTGGTCATGTATCATGTGCCACACACTGGTCTAGGTGCTGGGACTGAAACTTAGGGTTCTGCTCTCATGGAGCTTATGGTCGTGCAAGGACATTAAATACTAAGAATAACAATAAAGGGTCTTGAGTATCGAGAGAGGAGTACTGGAGGCAGAGAAATCTGTAATTTTATGTCACTGGGTGAGGTATTACATATACTGATGAGGGACTGAAGCAGAAAAATGTTCACCTTTAGCCCAGAAGGCTGACTGACAGCCTGCATTGTTCCGATGAGGATCAAATACGTGCCCTTTGCTACAGTCTTAAAGGGTCTCATGACTGCTTGTAAATCTCACTGATAGTTAATATCAAGCTGAAGGATAAGCACCAGAGAAATCTTGTGAAAGTAGTTTTACGTGTAGAAATTTGAAGAAGACATTTATGATCTAATACTCCCTGCACGTCCCCTCCCCCTTGAGCACTAAGCAGCAGAAAGTGTAGCACTTTCGGCCCATGGGTCCTATCCCCGTGCTGTAATAAAAGTACCTTTCTGGCTCTTTCCATAATTTGGCTATTGTTGAACGATGAGAAAGAATAAAATCCTGCTATTTGCAGCAACGTGGATGGAACTGGAGGGTATTATGCTAAGTGAAATAAATCAGTCAGAAAAAGACAGATACCATATGTTTTCACTCCTATGTGGATCCTGAGAAACTTAACAGTAGACCATGGGGGAGGGGAAGGGGGGAAAAAGAGTTACAGAGAGGAAGGGAGGCAAACCATAAGAGACTCTTAAATACTGAGAACAAACTGAGGGTTGATGGGGGGTGGGGGAGGGGAAGTGGGTGATGGGCATTGAGGAGGGCACCTGCTGGGATGAGCACTGGGTGTTGTATGGAAGCCAATTTGACAATAAATTATATTAAAAATCAATTAAGTAAATAATAAACATAAATAAATAAATAAAAGTACCTTTTTACACCAAAAACAGCTCAAGAAATCTTTCTTGACCATTCAGTTGCGGCCCCACATGATATATTACTTTGCCCCCTGCATTGAAAACACATTACCATGCCAATAAAATTCGATCCATGTAATCTCTAACTACTGCCCAATGTTCCTCTTGGTGGATTTACTGTAAATTATTGAAGCAAACTTTTAGTTGATGGAAGTTTGTATCATTTTTTCTGATCCTCTTTCTTTTCTCTATTGGATTTCTGACAAGCCTTCAGTTTAAATGTTGATGAAATAAATAACAAAAGCCAAATGGTGTAATTGTTTTTTCTGTTTGCATCTATTGTCCTGAAATTTATAAAATAAAGGAATGAAGCTTCCAAAGGAGGAAAACGATTTTTTCAAGTATGTAACAAACAAAACTTTGCTCTGTTGATGATATAAAACAAAATGAAAGAGACGGGGTGTGAGAGAAGAAACCAAATGTAAATTTGTCTATCAGACAATCAACTGGTGTCTCAGGTAGTGCTCTACACTATAGATTAGTTTCCTAATAGGGTTTCCTAATAGGGTTTCCATAGGGTTTCCTGCCCACCAGGAACACCCTGTGGAGAGGTTGACATAAGCTTTCGACTCTGCCCCTCTCTCTTGGAGAAGACATTCATTCTGAATGCACGGAACCTAACCACCAGACCCCAAATTTCTTTTATTATTTTTCTGGGAGACTCAAAAAATACTCATGCAAATGGGGCTAAGCTCCCCGCATAGGTCTGCCCTGGGGGTAGCGGATCAGATTCCCTGATGTTCCTTTGAAAGTGTAAACCCATGTGTAGAGGAAACAGGCAAAGAAGGGGAATGGTACCTGCTAGCACCGGTGGCAAAAACGACTAAAAACCAAAAAAACTCGGGATGTATAAGGTGAAAATATTCTGAGACAGTAACCTGCAAGGGAAGCCGCACATGATGATGTTGATACGGAAACTGAAGATCAACTGAAAGCAAACATGGGAAGTGAGCATTATCTGTCCTTAGAGCCTCCATGCCAGTGGGCTTGGCACGCGGGGCTGGCACTTCCTTTCCACCTTGTAGGCTTTATCTCACATAGTCATCATGTCCAAGTTTTGTGACAGCTATTGTCTTTTCAATCCCCTCTCATTCTAAGATCAAGAAAATGTTCTTAAAAAGAAACTCTAATTATATCACTTTCTAAGGATCCTTTGATGATGCTCTATTGCCTAAAAAACAAAACCCAAATTCCTTAGGTGAATATTCAAAATTGTATTACTGATCTGTTTTGATCAATGGTTTTATTCCATCTCCCATCAATCTCTAGCTTAGATCCCAACCCCAGGCATAGTTCTCTGCTTCTAACTCTCAACTTTGTCTTGCTCTTCCAAGGAAGGAAGGAATGCAAATATCTGTATGGGGTCAGTGGTTCTCAACCGGAGGGGATTTTGCTCCCCCCCTCTCCCAGAGGACATTTGGCAATGTTTAGAGACGTTTTTTGTTGTCACAGTCCCCCACAGCGAAGTCATCTCTGGCCCCAAATGCCAATAGTGCTGCTGTTAAAAAAAATAACGTTTAGAGCAACCTCGTGTGAAGTGTGTTGATCATTTCTTTGAGCCTTTAGGAATTTGCTAAAAGGAGGAACAAGTTTCAGGATAAAGGGAACACTGGAATGGAAACATCGATGTACTAAGAGCAAGACTTTTTTGTCTCCACTGGGTGATCAAATCAGTTGCAAAGTCAGTCGCACTCCTGCCAAGCTGCAAAGTGAATTTTCTCCCTTAGGTCAAAGCGAATTGGAGAACTAGAAATGAGTATATTCACAAGAAGCCAGGTAACACCTTCTGCTTGATACAACTAAGAAGGGTCATCCTAAAACACAGGTAGCTGAAGTAGGGTTGAAAGGTATGGGCTCTGCCTCTCCTCACCAGTTTAATTTTTCAAGCTTTTCTGCACCCAATACTAAAATAGACATGCTTTAATGGAGACCTAGGAGGATGGGGCAAGCCTCCAGTCCTGTTGCTTAAAGACTAAAACTACCGGGTCAGGAGGCCACATTAAGGCCCTAACCAGATCTCTGATAGTGCCAACAGTGGACAGATCAAAAGGAACAGAATTTTTTTTTTTTTTAAATTTTTTTTTTCAACGTTTATTTA